TTGTTTCTCAAAATTGGCTTTCTACTGGAAAAAAAATTGGAAAAGTATTATTTTTGACGGAATTTTTCCAAGTCTCGATATTCATATTTTCTCAAATATCTCGAGAACGGCACTAAATATCGAAAATCTATATCGAAAAACATCCCAGCACACTTGTCGACTTTCGCAGAGGCCTACCACATGGAGAAAGTCCGAACACCGTATCACGAAAAACAAAAAAAAAATAGTACGACGTCATGACGCGAAATAATCCCAATTTCATTGGAAAAAAAGCTGAGTGACAAGTGTATGTTTTCCGCCTGGAATTCGATAGAAATCAAGACGACCAACGAGAAAGTCTCTATACATCTTCACTCAGAATTGCCTCTTCACTAGAAAAAAATAAATTGGAAACGTATTTTTTTTTGATGAAATTTTTTCAAGTCCCGATATTCATATTTTCTCAAATATTTCGAGAACGGCACGAAATATCGAAAATCTAAATCGAAAAATACCTCAACACCCTTGTCAACTTTCGTAGAGGCCTACCACCTGGAGAAAGTCCGAACACCGTATCACAAAAAACAAAAAAATTAGTAGGACGTCATGACGCGAAATAATCTCAAGTTCATTGAAAAAAAAAAAGGTGAGTGACAAGTGTATTTTTCGCCCAAAATTCGACAGAAATCAAGACGACCAACGAGAAAGTCTCTATACATTTTTACTCAGAATTGCCTCTTTACTAGTGTTCGATTCTCTTTTCATCATTTATTAAGATAAACGAATTCAATGCACTCTTAATATTTAAAGTCTAATAGAATATTCGATTCGTATTTTCGCGCGTTACCCAAAACGACTACTTGTCTGTCCTATCGAGAAACGTGCGATGATCCGTCCGAATACTATCCAACAATTACCGAAAGAAACTCATTTTTTTCTCTCTCTAAAAATTATCGATAGCAGAGAGAACACGTGAAAACTCTCGCTCCCGAACAAAAATAATCGAATTCGTGGTGCGAACTTCATATAACTCATCCTCGTATGTGCAATACGTAACAGTGGTGTTTCTCAGTGTTGCGTTGGCGAAATTATACCGGGAAACTGTGTATTTTGCAAGTGGCGGCCGTCCGAACATCGAGATTCCTGACTTCGGAAGCCATCGCAGTCCATACCAGGTAGGATTCTGAGTATTCGTTTTGGGTCGAATTTTTGATCAACTATCAAAGTTCACTGCTCGTCATTCTCGCCCTTTAATTTGGTCCTTCGAGCCGGATTATTTCACGGTATTTTCCAGAAGTTTCCATCCTTTTGAGTGCATTATTTTCGAAATTTTCAATTAAAAATTATTTTCATAGATTTTGCCAAGTCCCATAGTCGCCATTCCTACCGGTCAGGATTCACGCTATCTCCGCTTGAAACGCGGCGCGTATCTCGAATCGGACTCCCCACTCCACCAGAAAATTATTTAGAACTGGTGCTGGACCACCTATGTATCGCTGCACTCTCTATCTATTTCGTATTTTTATTTGTTTTGATTTCGTTTGTTTTGATAATCCTCTGATTCCACGATTTACGGATTCGAATAAGACTCACAGTCACACCGAAAACTCGGTCACTGCAATCTATAGATTTTGTTCGCACCATTCTATAAGTAATAGGATTGATCGTCTATTTGTTTGGTTGAGAGGTTGATGGTACCGGTACTGGTCTCGAAACAGTTGCCTATCAATTATTGATATCACTTATTTACCTTACCCCTGGCAACTCTCTACTCTTCGTCTATCGATTCTTATACTCACTCGCACGTTTTACAATTACTCAATAACTCTAATCTTGCTTGATTGGATAAGACTCAAAATGAATGCTACGGCAGAGAACAAGAAAATTAAACAACTCACTGCTCAACGGATCACTGAGGAGATTAAATTATGCAAAATAAAAAAGATTGCTGATGCCGCTCTATTGGATAATTCACTACACAATAATTTGAAATGTCGTTACAAAATGCTTGATAATTGTCTTGAGAGTTTCGAAAAACTCTATTTCGAAATAATTTCTATAATTTCAGCACAAGAAAATGGAGACTTAGAGCCTCATAATCTCATTTTTACCAAATTCCAGAATGATTATTTCCATATTCAGGCTATTTATTCACAACTTTTTGAAGATCCTCAGAACCTTACATTACCACCTCTAGATACGAGTACCAATAATCCAGGAAAACACAATGTCAAATTTCCTGAAATCAGTCTACCTAAGTTCACCGGTGACCTTTCCGAGTGGCCATCATTTATTGACTCTTTCGATTCATTAATTCATGATTCGGATCACTTATCGGATATCGAAAAATTCAATTACTTGTTGATGTCTCTAAAAAATGAACCGTATAATTTAATAAAAAATACTCCAAAAACTAGTGGAAACTATACGATTGCATAGGATCGACTCAAACGTAGGTATGATGATAAGAGATTGATTGCTACCGCACATTGGCATGCTATAGAAAATACAAAAAAATTGTCGAATTCTGCTGGCCCTGCTGTGTTACGTCAGTTGGTTGATACATTCACAGAAAATATTGCTATTTTAAAAAAATGAATTACCCCGTGGAACATTGGGATTTCATATTATTCAATATGTTGTATGACAGATTGGACAATGCTACTCAAACTCGTTATGAATTTAGTGAAAATTCAAATGATGATGATGACTGTTATGATAAGCTTGTAGATTTTCTTGAAAAACAATGTTCAGCCATCAGCAAAGTTGCCTTCTCTAACAATTCGGGTAGTTCAAAAACCAACGATTCTTCAAAACACAAACAATTACCTCAAAATATTACGAATAAATCGAGAGGTAGCTCTTCGTTTATAATAAACTCTTCTACTCAACCTCGGATGGTATGCCAGTTGTGTGATAGCGATCATATGATATATAGTTTCCCAGTTTTCAATTCTAAATCTCCCAAAGAAAAATACACTATAGTAAAAACTAACAGGTTGTGTTTAAATTGTTTGGGCTCCGAACATTCCTCAATCAAATGCACTTCAAGGGTTCAGGGTTGCAGAAAGTGTTCAAAACGACATCATACCTCCCTGCATTTCGACTCCACCCCGACATCGTCTCAAGAAATTGTTGATCAACCCGCTCAGTCGTCCTCAGGTATACCTCAACCCCTTTCCCCTTTATTCAATAAATGCCCTCTCAACAATAATAATGGGCCCATATCAAATTCTGTGAATATGCTTGCGCATGCGAAAAGCACTATTTTGCTATCTACTGTATTGATAGAGGTTAGTGACAGGTTTGGTGAATATCATACTGTTCGCGCCATCCTAGACAGCGCAAGTCAATCTAATTTCATAACCCACAAGTGTGCGAGTTCATTAAGACTGTTCCGTTCTCCCCTCTCTACCTCAATTTTTGGCATCGGACAAACTACCTCCCAATCCAATTACGGAGTCTCTTGCACACTGAAACCTCTCGAAAAAACAATTCCCACTTTCACTTTAGATTTTGAGATCCTCCCAAAAATCTGCTCGGATATGCCCTCAGCATATATTTCCTCAGATCAACTACTTCAGTTCTCACATTTGGAACTAGCTGATCCCAAATATAATATTTCCGCTTCAATCGACATGTTATTAGGTGCAGAAATTCACGAATTGATTCTCAAGGGTAGTACACTCTCTAGCTCTACCAATGAACCTGTCGCAATCGAGACTATTTTTGGTTGGGTGATTTTAGGAAAAATCAATTATTCCTCTTTAACGCCTCCTTCTGACATTGTAACTGATTCATTTTTTTGTTCTTCATCCGAATTGGCCTTGGAAAATTCTATCTCAAGATTCTGGGAGCTCGAACAAGTGCCGGTGGTGACTCCTATATCTCCTGAAGATTCACAGGCTGAAACCATGTATGCTAACACTGTAAGTCGATTGAAATCTGGCAGATATGAGGTCTCACTTCCGTTTCTAGCTTCAGAACCTCTCTTTGAAATATCTCGCGATATCGCACTGAGACGATTTTTCGCGTTAGAACGTCGACTACTCCAATCACAATCATTGTATGCACAATACTGTGAGTTTATGCACGATTATTTAACAGCAGGTCACATGAAACCTGTTTCGGACACTTCTCCACATCCTCAGACATATTATATTCCTCACCATTGTGTGGTGAAGCATGATAGCTTAACGACGAAACTGAGGGTGGTGTTCGATGCGTCCGCAAAAACTCGAAATGGTACCTCTCTCAATGATACTTTGCTCACTGGTCCGAAACTCCAACAAGACATTGTCTCGATATTGTTGAGATTTCGTTCATATTCCGTTGTATTTACAGCGGACATGAAGCAGATAGTAGTACAGCTAGGCCGGTTGACGCGCAGTGCCGCCGCAAAAGCTCACCAGATGTCGCAGTGTCGATAGTGTCGAGAATAGAAAGAGAAAAAATTAATAGTGAATAGGTTGTTATTTTTTATTGATTAATTGGGTGACATCATTTGGGTATCAAATTATCGAACCATTTGTATAAAATATCAACGTTGCGAAGGCTGCAATTGAAGGATTCTCGACGAAGGTGATGCATACAGAATGTGATGATGTTGTTGTGATCAAAAGTTGGAACGGTGTTGTACCAGGAATCGTCAAATTGTTCCAAATTCACGACCCTTGCATGTGCATTGAGTGCTAGTTTATCATCCAGAAACTCCTTCTTCTGATGTCCTCGCACATAAATGATATCGATGTCACTCAGCTTATCTTGAAGGATAGTATCCAGTAAATTGTAATATCTTAGGTCATGAATGTTTTTCTCCAAGAAACAAACGCCGCATCGGTCTTCTTTGCTGAGAGAGGAGAAGGATTTGTATGGAAGTAGCAAATAATTACTACATTGAACTCCAATTTTTATGGCAATCTCCTCAAGACGGAATTCATACTCGATAATGAACCCTTGGATGTCTATGAACGCTACTCTCATGATGCCGGTCGAACTGGAACTGACTAGGAAACTGGGATTCAATTCCACTTTTTGATAATTTCACTGAGTGGGAGGTGCTCAATGATGTTATCGTGAACGATGATGCAATAATCTCGAGTGTTGGCGGGAAATCCTTGGGATGCTTCGATTTCAAGTTTGACATCGACAGTGGAACTTTTGACACTTTCGTCTCGTCGCGAACAATCGATAACGAAAAGAGGCTGTTTATTGGCGAATTCGAGGTAACCCAGGAGCGGAGTGTGTAGCGAGGTGTTTTTATAGCTGTATCCGAATTGTGTAAAGTTGAAGTACGCCTGTGGAAAAGCTCCTTTATCGAAGGCCAATTGCATCTTCTCCTTTGGATAACTTTCCCCGTTGAGAGTTGATGTGATATTCGTTATGTTGGCATGATTGAAAATTGTAGGATCAGTATCAACTTCAGTCAGATCGTGATCCGTTTGAAAGCAAATGATGACATAGCGAGGGCTTTCGAGAAACGAAGAAGTTTTGACGGCCCATATTTCATTGGTGGCGCCTGTCGTGAGGGAAGGCAACATATGTAATTTCCATTTTCTGAAGGGTATCAGGATGGAAGTGTCAGCTTTGATTGCCTTCAAGAGTTGCAATTCAATCTGATCGTGTGGGAATAGTCTTTTCACTTTGAGTTCCACGTTTTCGATTTCCAATTGTACTTCTGTGGGTACAACAGCTGCGCCGACAGCAGTTTTGGTGAATTTGGAGCAGTTATTATCGTTTCCAGCTCGCACCAAACGAATGGAATGTTTACCGTAGGAGACACACTCATAATCGTTGAAAATATTCAACAGATGCTTCAATGAAATGAACATACTGAATGCTAAAGTTGCTGCATTGATGACATCAACGTTATTGGGATAGGTTCAACCTGCTATAGTCAAATGTTTTGTATCTTCGGCACTGTAACACAAGTAGCCTCTTACAGTGCTTACAGTACCAACATCACGTACTGATTCCAATTCCTTACCATTTTGATCATAGCTGATGGATTGAAACATATTGGCACCAGCATTATTGACGAAAGATATCTGACCAACACCTTCAGTTCTCGTAACTTTTTCGCTAATGTGTAAAATACCTTCATAGAGGGCATCGAAAGCATCAGACTGATTAATGTTGATTTCTATGACATCGTTATTGCGAAAGGACTTGACGTAAGGGTAGTATGTTCTCTATTCGACCTTTTGTATGGATTCGTCGATGTGAGGCTTTCGGAAAATGTTGAACACTTGAGAGGATAACATGATAGCCGAGTGACCTGAGGAATTTTATATTCTGCAGACTGAGTGGACGAGTGTGGCGGCTGATGTATGTCTTCTTGAAGACTGAAGGAGCAGACACAGGGGTGCGACTCTTATGAACACTTAGGACCATAATTTTCTCAGTTTCAATCGAATGATGACTTCTTCGTTTCGGAAAATTACGAGTTGAAAGTTTCGATCGAGCACTTTGAGCGTGATCTTGTAGATTTCGTTTGTATGGGTGGCGATGGGTAAATAAATAAGGTGATTCGGCGTTTCGTCGATAGCGTAACCAGGGTCAGCGTCAATGGCGAATTCGTAGATCGTGTGAGACGGTTTGTCGTTGTAGAATGCCCCTGAGGTAATGTTGCTATCGACATGTATCGTTCGAACTTTTATAATATTCACAGGCTGATCAGACACATGATGAATGCCATTTTCCAAGGTTCTAGACGAAAATCCCAATATTTTTGCCAAACTATTGTTCTAAGTGAAATCGATCACATGTTGTTTACAGAAAATGTCGCTCTTCAAAGTATTATTATTCGGTTTGAGATAAAAAAAGGTCTTCGGGTTTCTGCGATGGTGGTAATGACGTTATATTTTTCGAAGAAGGTGGTGGTACAAGATATTTTCTGATCAGCTCACCGTGGCTCACTTCAAATTTGAAATTCATGATGACCTTGAGAGATAGAGCCTTATGTTAATATAGACGAACTAATTCAATCCACCACTGGAACTACTACAAAGACTTGAGGAATTTGACGAATCGAACAATCAAATTGGAGAAAAAGGCTTATTTAGAATTTCAATTGAACTCCGCAGGTGGTAGAAACGTCTGGAGAGAATTGAAAAACCTAGGTATTTACGATAATGGCCCTATTCGATCGATACCGGAACACTTGAGTGACGTGAATGACATCAATAAAATACTTTGCTAGCATCACTAGAGCTGATAAAATCCCTGACGCGGATCTCATGGGATTTTTCGAATCAAACATCAAAGAGGGCACTGGAACACTTTCATTCAAGAACATCTCTTGTGATGAAATATACAAATCATTGCTCTCTATCAAATCTCAAGCAGTTGGTACAGATCATATCAGCTGTAAAATGTTACTCTATTGTTGTCCTATGATTATTGTATACATTAATCACATATTCGACCACATGATAGACAACAATGTATTTCCTGAATTATGGAAGAAATCCTTCATTATACCTTTACCAAAGATTTCCTCTCCAGAATCATATTCAGATCTGCTGTAGCAGTTGAAATTGCTACAATAGGTTTTTAGTTTATCATCTATTTTTTTAGTTTATTTTTACCTGGTGTATATAAGTAGTCTGGTGAGAAAATACATACTTACAGAGAACACTCAGTCTCTAGATAACAGTCGATAAATCAGATCTTCATCTTTATTACAAAATAAAAACAAATACAGCTGATTCCAGTAAACATATTATCCATTCAGATTATTTTCCCTGAGGCTCAGCATACCTGTAGGAAGTGATGATTTTAGCTTCGGCTTCGTTCTCTGATCCAATGAACAGGTCCTGAAATTTAGGGAAAATAATATAATATAGATCTACTTTGAGCTAGATTAATTGACTTACCTGTGATGTTCCTCGGAGTGATGGTACCATTATGGACTCAGGGGCTTCTTTCAGTTCAGAGTGGTCGTTCGATATTTGTTTGTTTTCTTTACTTTTCTAGGACTCTTTTGTGGTTAAGTATGTTCTATTCTCACTCTAGCGTGGAACTACGGTCGTCGTGAGCATCAATAGTCTTCGCAACTCGCAGTAAAAAGGAGAAGAAGAAGAAGCGTTCATCAACCCTGGCTGCTTATTTACATCATGGTTTTTTTTTAAGGAAAAAGAAGAATGAGAATACTCTTCTGTCTTTGGTTCCTATTTCATTTAGGTTTATATGAACTATTCGTTCCCAGCTTTTATCTCGACCAATAGGATGCGAGAAAATTATTTTTCTCGGATTTTTGCTGTTTCGTGAGAGGTCGGTGTTAAGGGTGGGGGAATAGGGACTGGTCGAGGAAGATTTCCTTTGGGAAGCTCTCTTCTCGGGCAGCCATGATGACGACTTGAGCCATTAAGTTTGGTGGTGATATTTTTGATCACTTGGTGAAAACCGGTGAAAGTTTTGTTCTATAACGTTTTCAACGCTAAGCGTAATCATCACCAACTTATAGATTTGAGAGCTGATGGTTGTTCGCTGCTTTTGGAGCCGCCTGGTAGTGACGCCACGTGCCAGCTAAGATGTTTGGCCCTTCTTCAACCCTTCTCAGAAGGTGAGTAACTTTTCATTGACTGTTAGTTGTGAAAATTTTTTGGTGCCACGGTTCGTCCACAAAGTTAGAGCTACAGGACGTATTTTTTTATACACTAGGGTGCTAGGATGTGCCTAGGGCACTAGTGGTTTATGACCTGCCACTGATCTCCTGCGCTGTGTTTCGCCGTCACGTCGGGAGGAATACCCAGGACGAGGGGCTACGGAACTCAGCATACCGATCGGAGGGGGCTCTTCTCGTTCTTCCCTTTTCACTGCAGCTAATCCGCTGAGTTGCATGCTGCCGTCACGCCGGGAGGAATACCCAGGAGGAGAGGCGTCAGGGTCCAGCCCAGTGGATTAGTGGAAGCACCACCTTTCTTCGCTGGACTTCTGGACCGACTGCTGTTAGCACGCCAGGAGGAATACCGAGGAGGAGGGGTTGCAGCATTCGGCCCAGCAGTTCAGCCCCCATCTCATCTTCATCGCAGACCATCATCATCGCAGACCATCTTCGCAGTCACCTACTGCCACATCATCACCAGAGCGGACCGTGATAGGGGTGATATGGACCTCTGGAGAGGACCTTCCCCCTATTTTTGACCAGGTTTTTGTTAGGGACATTTAAAATCTCAAAATTAATAGATTCAACCATTTTCTAGTGTAAAACTCCCTGTGAAGCTTCACCATGGTACCATGAGACAGCGGTCTCAGTTTTACAATTTTTGATGATTTTTTGCTTAACAAATCCATAGAATATTGACCATTTCCCCATGTATTTAATTTTTAAATATCTAGAAATTATCACTATTTATCTGACTCAGTTGAAATTGGTAAGGATGTCCTCTACAGCGGTCTGAATGTGCCTTGTCTGGCTCTGGTGAAGAATAAATAGGTTGCAGGAATATTTTTGTTTCATTCCACTGTCTGTCCCGCTTGAATATTTCAGGAACACAAATTCGTTACAATATTTCAGGAATATCTTTTTAAAGCATATTTGCTAGAGCATATTTTGTATAGCATATTTCTGGCATTTGTTGTGAAGTATTTTGTTATATCAGATCAAAGTATTTGGTTTTCTCAATTATCCAAATCAATTCACATTTTGATATTAAATTGAGTGGCGTCCAAAAATAACTCGAAAATCAATCTCGAATCCACATCAACTGTTCTCTGGCGAAAAGCAGCCGTTCGCATATGTACCTAATTTTCTTTTAAATTCAAATTGATTGGAATTTACGTGATCAGAAAGATAGGTTACACTGCAACCAATCAGTATTCTATGTTGCCTCTCTGAAGTGTTCGAGAAGCATATTGATAAGCAAATGCGTGAATTCCTTAATACTCATTCGATTTCACCAACATGTCTGTCTGGATTTCGGCCAGGGTATAGTTGTACCACAGCTCTTCTAAAAATCACGAACGATATACATTCAGCTACTGATAATAATCTGCTCACTTGCTTGGTCTTTTTTGACTATACGAAAGCCTTTGATCTGATAAATCACTCGCTGTTACTAGCTCTCTTGCACTACATCGGCTTTTCAAATTCTGCCTCTACCCTTGTAAGAAATTATTTGTTTAACAGATTGCAAGCAGTTATCCTCAAGAACACGTGTTCGGAATTCACTAGTATACGCTCAGGAGTTCCCCAGGGCTCGATTATAGGTCCGTTGCTTTTTGTAGTTCACACTTCACAGTTTACCGAAGCTCTACGTCACTGTTCTGTACATATCTTTGCCGATGATACTCAAATTTATTATTCGTTTCCTGAAAATGATCTAAACAATGCGTGTAACAACGTGAATGATGATTTAGAATCTCTCCGAGTATTATCTGATATATTTTGCCTATCGATCAACCCAACAAAATCTTACTATTCGGAAGAAAAGCCGCAAAAAATAGATGCTTGCCTGATCTTGACATCCACAGGAATGAGGTTCGTTTGCCAACTCAAACAAGCGCGAAAAACTCAGGATTGGTTATTGATGATTCG